AACAACCGTTAATTATTGTATAGCCAAACAGTTATATTTATCGAATCTGCTATTTATCATCCACTACCCACTTTTCGCAATCCGCCATCCGTCATTTGCCATCCGTTAACCGCTACCTGTTCCCTGCTATCCGTTACCTGCTATCTGCTATCCACTATCTACTGAATTTTAATTAATGTACCAAATATGCCCTTCTTTCTTCATCCCATTGCCTTAAACATTTGATTTTTGGCATTTAATTTAAATTTAGAAAAAGAAAAAACTTTATTATTTTGCAAGTATATTTCTTTTTTCCAGTATTAATATTTTACCCATTTCTCACCTTTTAAAACATGTAAAAGGAGGAACAAATTTAATTTGAATATAATATTATACTATTCATTTTTTTTTGTCTCTATTTAAAAAAACTACTAAATAAGAAATAACCTTAATATTAAAAATATTAAAAAATTTTGTTTTTATTTAATAATTTGTGTTTTGCAATTTGGTGTTATTTGAATTATATAACATTTTTTATAATTTTTTTTAAAACTAAAATTTGCAGAGGTGTTTGCTCTTTGCTGTAACCGGACAGCAAAAAAGTCAACCTCGTCTTAAAATGTTTTTGATTTATACAATTTTTATTTTATATAAGATTAAAAAAAAAAACAAAAGAGGAAACTTCGCTTATATAACCACCTCCCGGGGCAGGATTATATATACGTTAGCTCACCAGTCAGTGGGTTCGAGGCATCCGATACGAGAAACTACAGAGAGGAGAGGAGAGACAATACACCCTTCCCATCACAAAATCTACCAAGTCCTAGGCAAGGCAATGGAAGCAAAGGTCGGGAAATTCTTCGAATCCGTCGCCAGCTTGTTTACAGGCTCAGATCAGCTGCCATGGTGCGACGCCGACATCGTAGCTGTAAGTTTTCATTTTTACTCCAAAATCACTATTATTACAAATTTTGGAATCAGAGTTTTATGCCTTTATTTCTTTTCTTTTCATATTTTGCATTCTTGTGTGTGGATCTTGAATCAGAAGGTTGGTGGTGAGAGAACCTGGAGCAGCGTGGGTGAAGTTTTTATTTTTTATTTTTTTGGAAAAGATGGGTTTCATTGGAGTACATTTTTTGTTTTGTTTGGGGTTATAAAACTCTTTTATTTGAGTCTAGATTGAACAATGATATTTTTTTCTGGTGTGGAGATTCAGAGACAATTTTAGAAGGGTTGTTGTGGATTAGGGTATTCCATTGTTGTACTTCTAAATTTAGGAGTTGATAAGGGGTTGGGATTCAAGATCCCAATTTCTGTTTTGCATACAGTTGATATAGTTTTGCTGTAATGTGCTTCGTCTTTTAGTTATTGGGCATTCGGTACAGTTCCTCAAATTTAAAATTAAACTGAATAACAATTGAAAAACTTGTAATCAGCAGTATCATACAGCCAAGTTTCTTTAATACCTGAGTTGCATTTGGATCTAATAGGATTATACATGTTAGCTGTAAAGTTACCCTGTCTACTGATTGTAATTTTCCTACTGTAGAAGGAATCTGTAGGTTTTTACCTTGATCCTTTGTTATGTGCTCTTTGTCAATAAACTTGTAATGCAGAGCTTTTCTTCTTTTTTACCCTCCTTTGGATGATCATGTTGAATTTCTCCTTCATATATGTAGTGATATGGAATTATGAGTGAATAAAATAAGTGGACAAGTTAGCACCAAAAAGGCAGTCCGCTTCTTGTATATAAAAATAAATTGCATCAATTTGATTGTTTTGTTTAACCCATCTACTGGCAGGGCTGTGAACGTGAGGTTGCTGAGGCTGAAAAGGGTTCTTCTGATAGGTTAAGAAGTGAATGTATCATGCGTTTATCATGGGCTCTTGTTCACTCAAGGAAACCGGAAGATGTACAGCGAGGGATAGCTATGCTTGAAGGTGAACAAAATTAATGAAACCAAGTCTGTGTATCCTTTGAGTGCTTTTAGTTTCAGGGTTGCAAAATGTTCACATCTTGTTTTGGATATGTCTGCACTTGAATTTAAATACCATTATTTGCAGCTTCATTGGCCACAACTACCAGCTCACCAAAACTGAGAGAGAACCTTTATCTTCTGGCTGTTGGATATTATCGAAGTGGTGACTATTCTAGGAGCAGGGAGCTTGTTGAAGAGAGTTTAGAGGTTACTGCTACAATCGTGATTTAATTGTTTAGCTATTTGGATATTAATGGCTTTCTCCATTTTGTGATATGCTATCTTGTCTCATGTTCCATTGTGCTACCTTATCTTTCTTGTCAATTGAGGAGATAATATGGCCGGAGAGTTGCATGTTATATGTTCATTCACTTGAATCTTGAGGTGAAATTTCGTATTAATAGATTCATGTATAACTGATCATTCCCCTTTAATTTGGCAATTGGCAGATAGAGCCAGGGTGGAGACAAGCCCAATTCCTTAAGAAGGCAATTGAAGACCGGATTACAAAAGGTAAAATCCTATTCATGTAGTTTTTGTCTTCCAATTGACAATAAGTTGACGGAGCAACCTTCTTTCAACTTTGGTGCAGATGGTGTCATTGGCATAGGCATTGCTGTAACTGCCGTAGGACTCATTGCTGGTGGTATTGCCGCAGCTTTAGCACGGAAAAACTGACATAGCCGCTATTTGATGACTCTACAACTTGAGTTTCTTGTCTAGCAAAAAATGCTAGCAAAACTTCATCCAATTCATGTTTGCTATTAAGGTGTACAGCAAAGCTTGTTAAAAGTATTTTTATAATAGCTTTTGTCTTGCGAAATGAATGCTAAATGAAATGAAGCATTTGACTTAATGGTTCAAAAAAATAACTGTATGGCGTACAATAGGGAAGCAAATTGTAAAGAGTAATGCAAATTGTAAAGAGTAATGATTTGTGGGTCGAATTTTACAGGTTTAAAAAGTTTTGGGCATTGATCATGTGGGAAACTATATATGAACAACGGCCAACAATTTTGGCTGGATATATCCAAATTGCTGTTAAACAATATGCGGGTTACCCCGTCCACATCCATTATTTTATTGGCGAATTGCAATTATTTGTCAAAGATATGGAATAAAACCTTGTATTAGTCCGTTCATTAAAAAAAAAAAAAAAAAAAATTGGCGAATTGCAATTATTTGTCAAAGATATGGAATAAAACCTTGTATTAGTCCGTTCATTAAAAAAAAAAAAAAACCTCATGTTTACACCATAAATTGCATTTTTAGTGATATCATATATTAATGGATAAGGTGAGATCAGATCTACTAAGAGGATGCATATTTTGTAAAAATTGGTTTTGAGAAGATAAAGATTATCTAATTTATTGTAGTTTGAATTAAAAAAAATAATAGGAAATTTTCATTCTCTAGTTTCGTTTCGTAATGATTGCTCACCTTAACTTTTATATTTTAGTTTTAACATAAAACCAATAGATTTAGGTTATTTTTAGCATTCAAGTGCTCAAATTAGTTTGTGTAATTGCTTCTTTGATTTACTTTTGTGTAATAAACATCAAGTTTACTCTAATTTGTATTTCATTTAGTTCATTTTGAATCTATTAACTTAAATTCACGGTATTAATAAAGTCTTTAAGATTGTTCAAGGCAGATTAGTCACCAATTATGCAAAAAAACATCCTTTTCTCTTACAAATCTTCTAAATGACACAAAACTTAATGTTAAACCAACTTTCTTCCAATCATCCCGACTAAGGTCCAACCCGTAAAAGGAGAGAGTCATTGAGAAATTCTTTTTTTTGCTTTTAAAAAAAGTAAGGGCATGTTCGTACCTAGATTCCGCATATGCACAGTATCTTAAAGATTTTTGAGGAAACAGCTTGCCTTTGTCCGTATGAAACAAAGAGCTTTTACTTTCAGTAACATCAATTTTTTATGTGCTTTTTTACCAAAAAAAAATTTTTTTTTATGTGCTTTTGTCTCTCACTGCATGACGACGCGACACAACAACTGCGTCCATTAAAACAAAAACCTCACAGCTGTGGAGCAGGTGATAATCTCCTTGATTAAAACTAATAAAGTCCTGAATTCAAATAAGGTACCAGATTTTATTATTTTTTAATGATTATGATTACATTCTTTTAATATTTTTTATGTAAAATTGTCGGTTATCTAAAAAAAAAGTTTTTCGTACTTTAATTAATTTATTTTTTTCCATAGTCATGGATTGGTGAGTAACAGAAAGGGGGAAAATGAGACCTCTAGGGTCTAGGCCTTCTTTCTCTTGTTATTCTTTCTACATTTTTTTAGGCTAAACCTCTTGGGCCATCCATATCCGTGTCTTGTGATGGACATTTAGGCCTAAACCGAGATGGATATATATATATATATATA